AAAAGCCACAACCACAGCCTATCAACCGGGGCATGCAAGTGCAAAAAATATTAGCCAACTGTGACAAATCCTATATATTGAGATATTGTCCAATTTCATTATATTACAAATGACTGCGATGTGATAGATTAGGACGAGTTTTTATGACTTCACTCTAGTCGCTCCCGGTCGTATACTCTGAACCGTATACCGACATCTTCCCTGTCGGCAGATAGGGCTCGGGCGAGCAATCTCCGCTCTTGAGGGCTGCAGACCCGCTGTCCTGTCCAATACATCCCTCAGTGAGCTATTAAGACTGTTCTTTGTTGTGAAACAATGAATCGGTCGTTTGAAACGACCAGTCACGGACAGGCGGTGAAGAGAGATAGCGTTTAATAGATTTGGCAATTCGTTCAACGTAATGCCGTCTAAGAAGGGCCCATAGAAATAACATCAGCTACATCATACATACATACCTCTATATCAAGCCTATATCCCTTGTAAAACGGTCATTTACAGCACGTTTGACAATATTTCAGAGACGTATTTAGAGTCATTCAAAAGACTGTGATATGTATATCACTATATTGACAGGTTGTCAGCCTGTCGACTAAAATTGCAATGCACATCAACTCTCAACTCCCACTATAGTAACTAAAAACTGATTGTCAGTTTGTCGCCTAAAATTGCAATAAACATCAACTCTCAGATTCCTTAGTCACTTCTTAAGATACAAACGGGAACAATATGGGGCGATGCTATTTTAAGCCGGCACCATACGACGCATCTAACATTTATGCATATGCAAAAGCCGTGGAATAATTTGAGGAACATCTTTGTTATTCAATCGTTTAATATTTGCATTAAACTGTATCCAGATCTATTCATAGTTAGATCCTTTGAATATTTAAACACAATTTGTGTTTAGTTAAATTGATTCTTCTGCTCTATGAATAAAAGCTCTTACATTTCTAAATTCGAGACTGTAATAAATAATAAGTACATTGTTTTACATCTGATATAGGTACCTACAGTAATAGCACAAAAAAGAGAGTTTACAGAAGGATGACTCGACCCTATTTAGGATTTCCGCGATTGTCACTTGTTATCTAGCCAGGGTTGCTAGATTCAATACGAGTGCGAAATTCAGATGGAACATGGGTCAAAATAAGAAAACTTTTGGACCTTCCATTATAAATCAATCAGCTGATCGGCGATTTTCTCTTTCAGTTTATATTTTGTTCGTAGATCGTAGCATTCGTAGCATTTGCTACGAGAAGCTACGTAAGTACCTCAGATTGGAAGCAAAAAAATCCGTGAAGCTTTCCACCTAGGTACTTAATTATTTCAATTAAGCTCGCTTTGTTTAATTTTGACTACATTCGACTGCAAGTATTCTCTATCCCTCAACAGTACCCACTGCAGGGTAACAGGCCTCTCCTCCATTACACCAATCCTCACGATTCTATGCTTATCTCATACAAAGAGATCCTGTTGACTTGGTGATGTCATCACACCACCGGGTTGATGGTCCGCCCACTGACCTTTTTGCTCCACTTGGCCACCATTCTGATTGTTTTTTGACTACCAGACATCAAGCTTCTTTACCAAGTGTCCTGCCCAACTCCACTTTAATCTCGTGATTTGATTATTACCTACATCTTCAGCATTTGTCTTACGTTGAATTTCGATGTTCGGCACGCAAACGACGAGCAATTTTTTTTATTCGAAATTAAGTACCTAGACCAAAATAGTGCTTTGCTTACTTACTACGATAAGTTGGTTTGAATCCGTGGAAGCTGCCACATTGGCCACAACTTCCAACTACAAGAATACATACCTAACTATTTCTAGAAAAGCTCAATCGATACATTGGATTTAACTTGATTGGATGAAACCGAAAGAGACTGGTTTTGGAGGTTATTTTTGAATCTGTACAATCTCACTTCATAGGTATTAAAATGCGACGAGTGGCCAAGCCGCTTGATCAAGCAGTCTGCTTCTAAAAACCATCCACACACCGATCGACCTTTGACAAATTATAATATCTTGATGCTCGTCTCGACCCGACAATCTAGCTACATTTAGGAGAAGATAATTACAACTTATGTTAATTACTTATTTTCTTATAAGAAATTATGAAAATAATAAAGCACTGTAAGTGCATTAAAATCCCAATAAATTGTTTGCATTGTAGTAGACAATCACTGGCTAACTGGTCGCGGTTAAGCCAGTGGTTTGAATACCGATGACGGCAACTACACGGGACCCGCTGCAATATCCACTCTATGCATAAGTAATGTGAAAAGTGAGGAGATACCGACCCGGTGTGGACTATGTATACTCTAAAATACAGGGTGCAACGGATAGTCAGAACCCATGTCCAGCAGTGGACAGTTGAAGTTGTAGTAAACAATCAGTGGTGGTTTGAATACCGATGACGGCAAATACACGGGACCCGCTTCAATATCCACTCTATGCATAAGTAATGTGAAAAGTGTATGAGAGGCGACCCGATGTGGACCCATGTCCAGCAGTAGGTAGACAGTTTATCTTTGCATGGGACACCAAGTTCTCCAACAACCCGATAAACCCTGGTGTCAGAGTTTTACAACTGCCTACTAAAAGTAGTAGCCCTCTGACACGATTGTGTTGTATTCGTAGACAGCAACCGGGACCGACGGCTTAGCGGGCCCTCCGAAACACGAAACCTCTCTCTTTGAACAGGGTGAAAGGGATAGATAAAATCCTTTTCCAGCAGTGGACAGTTGAAGTTGTAGTAAACAATCGGCGGTGGTTTGAATACCGATGACGGCAACTACACGGGACGCGCTCCAATATCCACTCTATGCATAAGTAATGTGAAAAGTGTATGAGAGACGACCCGATGTGGACTAGTTGTACTCTAAAATACAGGGTGCAAGGGATAGACAGAACCCATGTCCAGCAGTGGACAGTTGAACTTGTAGGAGACCGGTTGCGGTTAAGCCAGTGGTGTTTTGAATGACGGCAACTATGCAAGTCACGCATGCACCAATCTTCACTCTATTCTATACATAATTCACGCTTAAACTTTTATTTCTGATCGAAATCCGCTTCATGATAATGATACTGGACTGGACTTTTCCCGGAAGAAGGTATCTATAGGTACTTTTTTTACTTTATATGTATACGAGTAAAAGAGGAAAAGACATTGAATCGGTTTAGCGCTTTTGAGCCAATTTGGTACAAACAAACATACACAAATACATTTTTTATCCTAATGATATGAATATAGATTAGTAGATATAATAATATTGGAAAAGCTCAATTATCACACTGGCTTTGATACAATATAACAATAGGTATTAGCTTTGATGTCCATTCAGCTGTCCCAAGGTTATCCCTTACACCTTGTATTGTATACTCTTCTGAAATAATGTTCAATTCCAGTTCTTTGTTCATAAGCCACTGTTAGATGAGTAAGATTTAGGCGGGGAACACATGCAACGGCAGTTTTTGCGCTATTTTAGCGCTGAATAATGTATGTGTTAAGATAGGTAATATGAATTAGCACCCATTCCCATACTATTAGGGTTTATGTCAAGCAGTATGACAACCGCAAGGACGCATCCGTCGACACAGCGTTTTGCGGTACGCAGCTTTGGCGGATGTATATGTCAAAACGTTTTGACTTAAACCGTATTTGTACGAAGATGGTACGAAGATACTAGATGGATGATATAGTCCGACAAGTTCGTGCGCGATCCTCCCTAGGGGTGACAGACGTTGGGGGGAGAGATGTCAGCGGGTAGCGGGAGGTGTAGCGGGGAAGGGAGACGCGCGCATCCGCGCCGCACGTCATATTAAAATTACGTGCTTTCTCGCCCCCCCACCGTCTGTACCCCGCAGGAAGGTCGCGCACGAACTTGTCGGACTATAGATAGATAACGGACACAACGTGTGATCACCGCCCCGCCTATATGTTCAAAAGCAACCAAAAATGTAACACTCAATCGTATTCAAGCTTGACGTAGAATTAGAAAGGGGTTTACCCCGACGCCTAAAAGAGTTCGCTAGTCTGAATTTGTTTCGCTGAAATTGCAAATAGAGTCTGCAATTTCTTTCGTAATTCTATGGGTCGTTTTAAACAAAGTGAGGGATATGGATGATGTAAAAAATAATCGATTTTTAAATAGTCGATGATTTTTGGAGAGAATACTATTTTAATTAATTGATTAAATTAAAATAATTTTTTCAATCATTACAGTTTTAATATAATTTGTTGTGACTACTTGTGCGCCCCAATTAATTATTTCAGGTTTTGTTTTGGAATTTAGATGTTTTTTACTACTGTTGGGGTCATCAAATAAATTATTATTGCGTAAAATCACGTACCTAAACATATTCAAAACATTGCTAATTTTCAAAATTTATGTATTTTCTTGTGAAATGGATTTATTTTTAATCGATTTTCACCTCACAAGAAATAATCGATTTAGTATTAATAAATCGATTTATTGTTACTAACGTCACATCCCTTGTAAGAGGTACTTTGTATTCATGAATCTATATAGGAATTGATTCATTTTGTTGCAGATTGGAGACTTCCCGGTGCAGGTGAAGCGGCGCACCCTGAATCCTAAGCGTGGATCCTGAATCTTATTAAAGGATGCATGTTACATTTTCAAATGCATTTTAGTTTTATGTATTTTAGGAGATGGAACATGGATGGCGGAAATTCATTGACTTCAGGTAAATTCAATATCAACATTTTGAAAAAGCCTCGATGGTTTACTGTAGCGCCTCGTCAGTCAAATCTAAATCTATCACTGAAAACCGGATCAAAATCGGAGTAGTGGTCGCAGAAAATACAGTTCACAATCGAATATTAGGTTCACTGGAGTATTTTACTGGCACAGTTTCTCGAAGAAAACTTTAAAGTAGCTCATTAAATTGTAATTTACTTTCTGCTAGATGTAGCTAGATCATCGCTTGGAGACGAGTATGAAGAGATTGAAATTTGGCAGGCATTGATTGGTGCATTGATAGTTTAGTGACAGAGCAGTGGGACAGTGACCCATGCCATGCGGCTCGGGTTCGAGCCTCAGTCAATGCATGTAATTTTTCGATATCTTATTTTCCTTTAAGAGAATAATATAGCACTATGAGAGCATTAAAATCCCAATAGAACTTTAAAGTAGGTCTAAAGGAACGTTTTACTCGGCAGAGCTCGATGCCCTAGTAATTCACATTCACAACTTGGTGCGGCCGCCGTTCCGTTTCACGCGCGTTTGCAGCTTGCTGTTCTTTAGCATTCTAACCCGGTCCAGATGAATTTTACAACAGACATTACATATTTTATCCGTGACGGAACGGACACAAGATGCGCTGTAAATTTTTCATATTCGCGCATCGTTACGCTCGTATTTCTTATCGTGTTGTAGAAATAGTGAAATTCTTATCGGATATTTGTCATCGATCTCTGGAAATTCTAATATTTCTGTTGGTGAGCAAGAAAGATCCCACACGTGCCACACTGTACAGGGTGTAAGAGACGGTGTACCGAAAAGATCAGACCATGAAACTGAACAACTTTCACTATGGAGCCAGTGGTGTTAAACGAGATTTTTTTTCCGACCTCCCATTCACGCGATCAGCTGACTGACTTTTTATGGAAGGTCGGAAATTTTTTCTCGTTTCCCACCATTAGTTCTATACTAAAAGTTGTTCAGTTTCATGGTCTGATCACTCCTGCAAAGTTTTCGGTACACCGTCCCTCCCCCGTATTACGAGTATTGAGGTCAGTTTTAATAATTTGTCACTGTTCAATATATAAGTACCTAGGTACTTACTTTACATCGTTGTTTTTACCGTCTGATGTAGTCTTACCTTATCTTAAGATAAAGTGAGTCTTTGCGATTTCTCGCATAAAATCCCAAGAACTAGGTGGGTACTTATTATTAGCTGCAGTCAGACTTCGCGCCGCGAGTTTTCAGCTGCATTTTGCTATTTTATGAAAAACGTGTAGCTGACTGGATTATCGGCTTTGTCACAGTAAGCGCTGTGCCAACGTATTGTACACAACAAATACGCAAAAACGTTGTGCCAAATTAGCAGGTTATAATTGCACTTTTTTTATGAAATTACATTTACCTACGCAAGCCGTGTGGTAGCGGCTAAGAATACTGCCATCCCTTGTCCACTCAGGGCGTTTCGTAAAAGGTGACGTATAGTTTTTGACCTCGGCTGAATAACTGTCGAATATGGTCAACCGCGAGGCCGCGGTGTGGTAACACCTACAATAACATACCCAAAAAGAGATGACGTCAGGCAGGCGGCCAAAGATATCCAAATCCTTTTGCTACATGATTTTGAGCTCAAAAAACATGTTGCGCCGAACCCGGCTGAATTGGGATAAGGGCAGGCAGATGATGATGAAACTTACAGGCAATTAGGCTTACAACTTACTATAAATTTACCAATAGACTTTTATGCGCTTACTTTTCAGGAAAAATGAACGCAGGCGTTACAAGTCATTACTATCAAAGAAAGTGGAAGCTGACAAAAGTTTGTAACAAGGTAGTGACGTGAATCGTGACAAAAATCTTTGTGCCTATAAAACAGTTGACGAGGTTCGCTGGCCGACCGTCGCGCCAGTAAGACATTTCCACATAACCGAGTTATGAGCTCACTGCGACCTGAGAATAATGTTAGAAGAAACCTTACGAACAATCATAGTGAGTAGGTATTAGTAACAAAGCGAGCGGAAACTGACGAAAGTTTGTAACAAGGTAATGACGTCACAATCGTGACAAAAATCTTTTTGTGCCTATAAATTAATGTGATTCAGTTTATGAGGTTCGCTGGCCGTCGCCAGTAAGACATTTCCACATAACCGAGTTATGAGTTTACTGCGACCTGAGAGTAATGTTAGAAGAAACCTTACGACTAATCAGTCTTATTCTCCTTGTCGTGTCAATATTCTATTTTCTTGTGTTGTGAATCTACCATTGTGGTAAAAAAATTGGCCACTATTTCCAGGGTACGCCGTGGGGAGGCTTCTTTCGTGTTTGAAAATAATTGATTTTTCATTAATTTTACTTGATTTCATTTGTAGAATTTTCGCATCTAAGGCTCTCCGCGGGACTATAATCCGAGCCTTATCTGAGGGTGACGACTACTTTCTTGCTTCTCTTTTACTGTGCCTAAGGTTGTACTGACTTCTAAACATATTCTTTCTTTGAGGTTACGGGTTATGGGTTATGGCATGTAAATAAACGAGCGGTTGGCGTGGCTAATGTCTATTCCGACATGGGCAATAACTGCGCGATTATCCTATTTGAACCAGCTACAGCGAACAGGCGTGACTTAATACACAATTTCAGTATCAACCAAGGATGCGACTTTGGTAACAAAAAAACGATTTTTTTTTAATGATCGATTGATTCTGGTGAAACAAAAATCGATTAAAAATTAATCAATTTTATCTAATCATTCATTTTATTTGATTTTATTCGTTGCATTTGTAGAATTTTCGCATCTAATCTGAGGGTGACGACTATTTTCTTGCTTCACTTTTACTGTTCTAAAGCTTATACTGACTTCAAAGCATATTCTTTCTTTGAGGTTACGGGTTATGGGTTATGGCATGTAAATAAACGAGCGGTTGGCGTGGCTAATGTCTATTCCGACATGGGCAATAACTGCGCGATTATCCTATTTGAAACAGCTACAGCGAACAGGCGTGACTTAATACACAATTTCAATATCAACCAAGGATGCCACTTTGGTAACAAAACAAATGATTTTTTCAATGATTCTGGTGAAGCAAAAATCGATTAAAATAAATCGATTTTATCCAAAATATAAATTGATTTTCAAAATAATCGATTTTTCATTCACTTTACTTGATTTTATTCCTTTCCTTTATGAAATTCTCGCATCTAATCTGAGGGTGACGACTATTTCCTTGCTTCACTTTTACTGTTCTAAGGGTTGTACTGACTTCTAAACATATTCTTTCTTTGAGGTTACGGGTTATGGGTTATGGCATGTAAATAAACGAGCGGTTGGCGTGGCTAATGTCTATTCCGACATGGGCAATAACTGCGCGATTATCCTATTTGAACCAGCTACAGCGAACAGGCGTGACTTAATACACAATTTCAGTACCAACCAAGGATGCGACTTTGGTAACAAAAAAAACGATTTTATTCAATGATCGATTGATTCTGATGAAGCAAAATTCGATTAAAATAAATCGATTTTATCCAAAATGTAAATTGATTTTCATAATAATCGATATTTCATTCACTTTACTTGATTTTATTCCTTTCCTTTATGAAATTCTCGCATCTAATCTGAGGGTGACGACTATTGCCTTGCTTCACTACTGTTCGTAGGGTTGTACTGACTTCTAAACATATTCTTTCTTTAAGGTTACGGGTTATGGGTTATAACAGCCGATGTGGCGCAGTGGTTAGTATGCCTGCCTGCCACGCAAAGGTTCCGGGTTCAATTCCCGGTGGGGTCACTCACAAAGTTGATATTTATTACTTTGTGAATTTGTCCCCAGTCTGGTTAGGACATTGCAGGCTGAACCACCTGATTGTCCGCAAGTAAGATAGTTCCGTGCTTCGGATGGGCACGTTAAGCCGTCGGTCCCGGTTGCTGTCTATGATGGCGGTCGTTACACAACCATGTCAGAGGCCTGCTACTTGCAGTAGGCGATTGAAAAACTCTGACACCAGGGTTCATCGGGTCGTTGAACGACTCGGTGTCCCATACGAAGAGAGAGAGAGGTTATGGCATATATGTAAATAAACGAGCGGTTGGCATGGCGAATGTCTATTCCGACATGGGCAATAACTGCGCGATTATCCTGTTTGAAACAGCTACAGCGAACAGGCGTGACTTGATACACAATTTCAGTATCAACCAAGGATGCGACTTTTGTAACAAAAAAACGATTTTTTTCAATGATCGATTGATTCTGGTGAAACAAATATCGATTAATAATAAACCGATTTTATACAAAGAAAACAAAGATTTTCAAAATAATCGTTTTTTATGCATTTGACTTGATTTTAAGCTATAATATGTTTAGATATTTTTTCTTTGAGGTTACGGGTTATGGGTTATGGCATGTAAATAAACGAAAAAATGTCTATTCCGACATGGGCAATTACTGCGCGATTATCCTATTTGAACCAGCTACAGCGAACAGGCGTGACTTCATACACAATTTCAGTATCAACCAAGGATGCGACTTTGGTAACAATAAACGATTTTTTCAATGATTCTGGTGAAGCAAAAATCGATTAAAAATAAATCGATTTTATCTGAAGCAAGTAAACACTTTCAAAATAATCGATTTTTTTATGCATTTACTTGATTTTACGCAATAATACCTAATTTTTCTCATATAATTTTCGACCAAAATATAAAACAACCTGCCTCAGAAACAAAACATACTAACAAGGGACCTAAAATAGGTAATCAGTCATGTATTTGATTGATGTTAAGATCTGCAAAAAAAAACGAATATTTGTACCTACTCGGAAATTCAAAATATCGATTAAGTACATAATATTTGATTAAATATCTATTTTTGGAAGAAACAATATGTTTTTAATTAATCGATAATTTTTTCACATCCTTAGTATCAACCAACCAACTTTGGAGCCATTACATTGAAATTCCCCTGGATGCATTAAAAATATTACCTCCAGGATGATAGAATATGTAATTTGATGCGAACTCTTACCTTGTTAATAACTTGGAGCGAATTTTAAAATAGCAGTTAATATTTTACGCCTGTAGAACTTTTGCGAATGACGCGTTTTCGTATTTAACTTTATGGAGTCTCTTTTATCTTAGAAGAAACTGTTCGTAATGAATTAGTTTTCGTACACGCTCCTACTTTTACCACCTACTTTTAAAAGAAGAAAGTTCAGCGAATTTTTCAGGAGACGTTCGAGAATTTGGCAAACTGCGGCGGATGGTTAGGCTTCCCAGTGAATCGGAATGTAAAATTAGGAACGAAAACATAAATATTCAGCAAGACTATATAAATAAGCGAAGTTTGGGCCATTTATTCCGATACACCAGGACTCC